ATTCAAAAAGTTAAAGTTTTATAACGATTAAAACACAAATTGTCAACGTCATGTCAAAATATACAAAGTAAATATCCTTAAACCAAACTCTAATACCTTCTCAAGCAATATTTTTCTTACTTTGCCTTCAGTAAATCTTTATTATTATTGATGGAAATATTTTTCCATTACTTTGCATATGTATGGTGAAATCAGTGTTTACCAACACATCGATAGTTATCTAATCCTTCCGATCCTAGTCTTAAAGCACCCATAATATGAAGGTGAGGGAGAAGTCTAGTCAGAACCTGGATGAGAGCTGAAAAAAGGGACTCCAGAAAATCTTGAGCTGACAACTGTATTAAGGAGGGTTGTGTTGTGCTTTGATTTGGCCTAGAGAATTAAAATCTGATCCTTTTAATGAAACTCCTAGACTGGTGCTGATACTGTACTTACGTTAGGAAGAAGACCTGGTCTTTACTTCTTTTGAAAGTGATGTATTTATTATTCCTGCAGAAGACATGATGTATTCCAAGGTAAAAGGATTATGGAGCTGTTAGATCCTGAATAAGAAATTGAATGTGCATGGCCACATCCCAGAACCTGCCTGGAGTCTCACTGATTTCAATAGGGCTCCATTTAGGTGCACAATCAGTTGCCAGACTGGGGCCTTTGTCTAGAGCAGGGATTGGCAACCTTTGGCATGCGGCCCACCAGCGTTAGCCCCCTGGCGGGCCAGGCCGGTTTGTTTACCTGCCACGTCCACATGTTTGGCCGATCGCAGCTCCCACTGGCCGCGGTTCGCCGCTCCAGGCCAATGGGGGCAGCGGGAAGTGGTGGCCAGCTCCCACTTCCCGCCGCGGCCAGTGGGAGCCACGATCGGCTGAACCTGCGGACGCGGAAGGTAAACAAACCAGCCCGGCCCCCCAGGGGGCTAACGCTGGCGGGCCGCATGCCAAAGGTTGCTGATCCCTTGTCTAGAGCCCTATCACTGCAATTGATGTATAGTTGTGAACTAACTGTAGATAAGAATAATGTTTAAGTTCTGTTAAGTGCTGCATGTTTGTGTGATTTCCATCAATGAACAACATATTGTGCTCTTTCAGAAATTAAATCCTATACGCAGTAGAATTAGATGGCATAAGAATATTTACTTTTTTATTTATATTCAAGGGTGGGGAACCTCCTACAAAATAGGGGACAGGAATTTAAACACGAGAAGTCTGGATGGGAATGATGAATGTGGGAAAAGGAGGAAAAATAACCATGAGGTGCAAGTCCTCTTTTATAGTTTTCTTTTTATAATACAGAGACGTATAATAAAGTAGAAGTCAGAGTGTTCCTATATCCAAGCCCTGGCATCTAATTTGCACTTGTACTGACCCAGGGATTCACACTGTTCTCCCAGCTCATGATTAAAACCTGATCCCTATGACCCACCGCAAATATAAAAAAAATACAATTATGTGTTACGCACTTAACTTTTCTTAGATCATTCACTTTTGCTCAAGCGTCTGTGCCATAACCACCATTGATGGAAATGCTATTATGACCAATAACAATGGATATGCCTCACCTCACATCCATTTCAGTCTGGGTCTTGCCAGAAAAGACTCATCAGAATCACCCCATGTCCTTCCCTGCTTTCTACACATAAAAGGTAACTCCCCCTAGCACTGTCTAGAGCATTTCCTTCTTCTACCCCTTTCACTTGTTTGAGGTTGAGTTAAATGAACATATACAAAACTGGACTGCTGGTACAAGAGGAAAAGGGGGTCAAAGAAACGACGGAGTCATGGTTTTAATTCTGAATTTTGAAGGGCTTTTGGGGTGTATTGCAGTCAGACACAACACATTAAAGGGTGAGATTTTCAAAGGTGCAAATGGCTATGAGACACCCAACTCCCCACTGACTTTCAATGGAAGTGAGCTACCTGCCATTGAAGAGCTCCCCCCTAGCTTTACGGTTTCAGTGTAATTTGTTCTTTCTGCTTGCCCCCAACCTCCCGCCTAATTTTGGTTTTATGCATATTTATTAAACAAGACCTACTATGGTGAAGATATTACAAAATCAAAGACTGGTCTTACACAAGTCTTCTTCAAAGCACTTTCAAGCAGTGCTTGAAAGATATTTTGAGATGCACCTTAGTATGCATATATATGCTCAATGCTTCCTTGACAGGGACGGCTCCAGCTTTATGGCCGTCCCAAGCGCGGCGAAGAGAAAAAAAAAAAAAGCCGCAATCGGCGGCACTTCGGAGCTGCTCTACTGCGCCACTTCATTCTTCAGCGGCAATTCGGCGGCTGGTCCTTCCCTCAGAGAGGGACTGAGGGACCCGCCACCGGAGACCCGGACGTGCCGCCCCTTTCCATTGGCCTCCCCAAGCACCTGTTTCCTGTGCTGGTGCCTGGAGCCGGCCCTGCTCCTTGAGACACTATTCTGGGTAGTTTCAACAGAAGACCGCGTAAAACTGTTATGACGTGCTGGGCCCAATTCTGTCCACAAATGAATTCACTGAGAGTTTTGTCTTTGACTCCAGTATTGGATCCATTATATCTATCATTTGGATTTATTTCATAGAAATTGTGTGTGTTCTTTGAGGGTAGTAGGAACAGAATTTTAGTTTTAGTAAACAATATGAGATAAACTATGATCAGGATCAGCATGAATTCTAAATTATTATATGGGCTCATTTTCAAACAGTGCTTTTTATTCAATTACATTAAATTACAACAAATTGAAAAGAACGTGGTTCAGTGATGCAAAGTCACAAGAGTTTTCAGAGCTGTTATTTTCTTCATCTGATTTTTGCACTTCACATAATGGTACCCTTATATTTCATAACCAAACTGTCATACTATGAGTTATTAGTTATTCACAACTTTATCATCATGTCTGAGATATTATTATTCCTTCTCCTTGAGTTTAAGACACAGTGATAATATGAAATTGAAATTTCATTGCACTGCAGCCAAGGAAATGATTACTACAAAAGGCACATCTGCCTACAGTTCACAAAGCACACAATGTGAGAAGGAAGACCTATGGACCACAGTAACTATACTCTGGTCATTTATGAATATTTTTTTCTACTAACAGGAGTGTCAGAGTCATTTAAAAGAAAAGGGATGGCTGGCGTAATCTAACATTTCATTACTGATTTATTTAAGTCTCCATTATATATAGTATCCCTGTGGTAGCAATATAAAATATAGGGGAAACACCAATACTAGGTCTTTGTGGGATATCAAAGAATACCTATCTCTTATAGTGTATTTTTCATCAGTAGATCTCAAAGTGCTTTACAAAGGTTACCCTACTTTACAGATAGGGAAACAGACAAAGGGATGGGAGTTGACTTTCCCAAAATCACATAGCAGGCCAGTGGCAAAGCAACGAATAGACCCCCAGGTCTCCTGAATCCCAGTCCAGTCTGTTATTCACTAGGCCATTGGCACTTGATCACTTTATAAGATAAACATGTATAAAATATGCATGCTAATAGTAAAAGAAAACACCCACACAATGTTGCTTTCTGGTTACCAAAGTACTATTATAAGGAAAATGAGCGTACCGCATCTGAAGTCGGGGGCGCGGGGAATGTTGTCTGGGCTTGCTGGAGGAAGATAGCAGAACTGTAAGGTGGGGGTGGAGGGTGAGAAGGAGATCAGAAACTGCTGCAAAAAGGTGGGTGATGGTCAGCTGTGCAGTGCTGACTCACCTTCTGGGAATGTAAGGAGCGAAAGGCTTTAAAAGGCACACGTCCCTGGTGTTGGAAGCCCTTTCTCCACGCAGCAGGCAAAGCAGCACCCACCTTCCCTCCTCTCGAGGTGCAAATATCAGGTGGGTCAGGACCTGCTATGGGCATTGCGCTAGTTGCTCCTTTTTAGGGGGGCTGGGAAGGAAATTTTCTCTCACTACCACCTTTGCTGGAGTGGGGGTTTTCACCTTCCCCACAGCAGGTGTCAGGGAGGACCTATTATGGTGAGGAGGAGGTGGGGTTAGGCTATATGTCACAACTCATTTGGTAAGTGGAGTGGATGTCCAGTGCAAGAACTCCATAGGGAAATCATCCAGTGAACAGATAAATGACCTGGTAAAGGACTTAAAAAGGAGGTGCTGGTTAAAGGAACGGGGGGAGAAGGGGAAGGTGGGGGCATGAGGTTCCTGTGATTTGTAGGGAAAGGAGCCAACCCCCCTTTCTGATAGCCCACCTTAATCCTCCTATAAGGGAGGAGTTGATCATTAAGGTACCAGCCATGGGTTGGCTGGGAACCTGAATGAAAAATGAAGGAGGCTGGTGGAAGCCCCGGGTAGTTATTTGAATGAACATGGAGTTGCCTGCACAGTACACTTTTAACTTCCAGGTAGTCCCAGGCATCTAATAATAAAGTTGCAGCCTGATTAAATCTATAACAAGTGTCTCCTGTCCTTCTTTTGGGATAGCCAGACAATCAAGGCTTGCTCTTGAAGCAAGAAAATCACAAATTGATTCAGAGCTCTGCTTTGACAAAAGAATAGGTCAGAACTTTCAAACATAACTCCTAAATACATATATGTCACCAGCTGGAGTGCTCTGCACTTTTGGAAGCTAAGCCACTTTTATTTATTTGCCTCAATATGGATTTTGGAGTCTAACTTTTTGCAACCAGATTTAAAAATCTTGACTAAAGACTATAAAAAGAGTGTGACCTTGAAAACCCAAACTTCAAGTGCTTAATGTTAAAATATATACCATTAAGCATGGCTATTCTAATTAGTTTTGTCTGATTTAAACAATAATGCTAAATCCATGCTTATAACACAAAAACAGCAAAAAGTGTTTAGAACCGATTGCATTCTTTGTCTAATTGTACATCTGTATTGCAAAAACAGTATGCTTCTTAGCTGAAAGTCTAAAGTGTAAAGGCCAGAATACCAGAACATCAACCACAGAGACTTAATCTTCATTTCCTAATATATATTTGGATAAACTCAAAATTGAATTGTCGTGAGCCTACTGTTAACAGTTAACACTTACCACTGAATTGTGTTTTTGAGAATGCTTCAGAATCTCTCCGTGGGAGGCAGCATTTCGTCATTTTAGTTGCAAGACAATTTTTCTCCTGTTAGAAAGACACATGTTGTGCCTTTTATTAATACAAATGGTACTGTCATCTCAAAATACATGTCACACTACTTTTTGGGTTTTTTTACTTTTATCTTTCTGTAAAGGGCAGGCCTCCATAAATACTAGTTTCAATTAGCTAAATTTCGCTCTTCTTTTCCCCAAGAATACTATGAGTCAAAGTGAAGACAGAATATTCTGTGTGTCACTGCTAAGTTTGGATTTGTTTATTGATTTAATTTATTTTTAAAAAATCAAGCCATCTTATTACCCATACACACAATAATAACAAAAAAACTGTACGAGGTATACATGAGCCTACCAGTTTACCACTGATTTGTGTTATAATAATCTTCAGCAATATTTCTGTATAGATCTGCCACTGATATAAAACAGATTTTCAGCTCATTTCTAAGTTATTTATAACAAATAATTTGCAAAATAAATGAAATTGAATTTTAAAAATCTCCACATAACCTGTTTAAAGGCAAGCATTTTGCAATTTCACTTCAAGATACCAAATGACACCATAATGAGATCTGCTGCATATAATATATTATTATGTAGCAGATGATAATATGTAGCAAATGATAATATGCCTGCAACCAAATAGAAATCAATTTTCAATGTTTAGTATTGTACTTAAAAGCACTGGCACTACTTGTACTATCCTCTTTGGAGCTCAAAGACATTGCAAAACATTAATAGGTTACATCAGCTCTCCTCTTGTTATCACTGAACTAATCAATAAAGATAAGCACTTTGTGTGATAAATAAAACAGTAAAGGACGAAGGTGAGGTAACCTTGCATCCTACTAGCTCTCTAATAAAACTGACATAAAGTGTGTATTTAAGAAATCAGGTCTAATGCATTAGCCACAGTACAGCCCTTACTAATGTAGTACAAACAATTTTTCAATGTGACAACAATTATGCTGTGTAAACATATACTGCTTTCAAAGATCACTGCTTCCTAAAATCCAGCCACATGTCCTTATCATAGGGAGCAGACATGACTTTCAGGTGGCTGATGAAGAAAAGAACGATCATCCATGCACAATATAGACTTCCAAAGGGTATTAGAAAAAGTACAGTAACTCCTCATTTAACATCATCCTGGTTAATGATGTTTCGTTGTTACGTCCATGATTTATTAGAGAATATACTCATTTAAAGTTGCGCAATGTTTCCTTAGAACGTTGTTTGGCCGTGGGGACTTGGAACCAGGGTGGGCCGGCAGTCCCCCCAACAGCTCCCTTCCAATCCCTCCAGCATCTCCTGCCCCCCAGCGGCCTCGTGGATCAGGAACTCCCCCCTCCTTCCCTCTCGCAGCAATCAGCTGTTTCGTGGGCGTTCAGGAAACTTGTTGGGGGAAGGGGAAGGAGCAAGGATGTGCTGGGTGGAGGGGGTGGCATGGTGGTGGGCCTGGGGCAGAGCCGGGGGTTGAGCACCCCCCACGCAGTTTGGAAAGTTTGTGCAGCTGTGCATGCGAGGTCCGGAAGAGGGAGTGGTGCGCTCCAGTGGGATAGCATGGGTTCATCATCACGTTCAGTTTATGCAGGGAAGCGTTTGTAACCGTTGCCCTGCATCTATTGTGTCTCCTTCCTCCTGCCTCCCTCAGCACTGCCTTGTAGAGTGTGAGGCTACATTAACAACAATGTGCTAACCCTTGAGGGCTCAGCCGAGTGCTAGTTCATCATTTAGCAGCAAGGCATTTCCTGGGAAATATCCCACCTGATATCGACACGGTTGCTTTAGGAGAAGCTCAGGGAGCTCATGAGCAGGTCCCCAGACAATTCTCTGATTAGTACTGTGTATAGATGTATAGATAAAATGTCTTTTGTCTGAAAAAAAAAATTCCTTGGAACCTAACCCCCCCATTTATATTAATTCTTATGAGGAAATTGGATTTGAAGAACATCGTTCCGCTTAAAGTCGCATTTTTCAAGAACATAACAACAACGTTAAGCGAGAAGTTACTGTACAACCCATTTGTTGGCTGCTGTCAGTGAAAAACATTTTTTAACAGCTACAATAAGGATAACAGAATTTGGCCCAAATTCTGGTCCCAGTGAGATCAATGCAAGTTTTGCCATTGTTCTTAATGGGACCAGGATTTGGTCCATAATTGCTATGTTTTGATTCCACACTGAGTAGCTCTTATTCCCAGTGAGTTGTCCCATTGACTTCAATCTAATGATTCTTGTAAATAAGGGCTACTCACTGCAAGGGCAGAAGAACTGGGCCTCATTTAAATACAAAGATGGGGAATATCTACATATACTGATGTTAGATATCACTGGATGGATAATGATGTCTGAATATAATGTACTTATGAAAAAAAATATTGGTGCAAAGCATAACTACTCATTAATAAACAACTTGTGAAGTGTCTTAGATAAACAGTGGAAGTGTCCATCTGGATATTTATTGCATAGTTTGAGAGGAAGCCTAACATTACAGTAATTAGTTTATACACAGCCTCTGAGGAATCAGATGCTGAAAATGAAGACAACTTTTATTCCAAGTTATGACAATGTTTCAAATCTCTCCATATGCTAACATCATTTTTTTTCCTGAGATTTCAATTTTCACGTGAATTCTAACAGCCATTCCAACTCTTTAAGAGTAGTAAGTGATTAAACCTAGTATATATGACATAAGGATATAAGGAATGGCCGGACCGTGAAAATCCACTAGGCCCAACATATCTTCGCCCTTTCAATATTTATTTTAACCTTGAACTTCCCTGTTTAGTCACTGCATATAGTTTAATTCACACTATATGCAGTAAGTGTATTTTAAATTCATTCATACTTCTCTTTTGATAAGTTTAATATTTTTATTGATGAGTGAGGTAGTTCTCTTACAATTACCAACTGCACAGTAAGCACTTAAATAATGAATACATTCCCTATAATTTCCTCACTATTCCTCATTCTGTCCCATATTTTAGAACCTATATATGAGCCAAATATGTGAACTCCAATCTGTACTTAAATTAACAAAACCTCTATATCTTTTTGTTGTATTAAATACTCTATTATTATAAATTTAAAGCATCCTTACTGATATAATCCCTTTTTGGTAAATGCATCCTTCCATGGAAATGATGGTCAACACTGAACAAAATATTCTCAGAGAAGTCTAGTGAAACAACACTATCATGTTTAAAAAAATCAAATTCTTTCCTTCTCTTGAATCCTCACAGTATCTTTATTTTAAAACAAAACAACTCAGAAACCATCTTTAGCCATAAAAACAGATGATGATTTAAAAGATTTTCCTTTAATATTTTCTTACCATTTCTTTGATCAGTAGTATGCACAATTATTTAATTTAACACGCACTCTCTTATTTTTAATACATAAATATACCTCTACCCTGATATAACGCTGTCCTCGGGAGCCAAAAAAATCTTACCGCGTTATATTGAACTTGCTTTGATCCACAGGAGTGTGCAGCTCCCCCCCCCCGAGCACTGCTTTACCGTGTTATATCCGAATTCATGTTATATCGGGTCGCGTTATATCGGGGTAGAGGTGTATTTCACTGACTAGCCAATTTACTTAAAAGACTCCAATCCTCCAGTTTCATTTTTATATTATTATTAGATAGGTCTTTGGCATGTGGGCCAACTTTGATATCCCACAATTGATATCAATTTCTTGTGGCTGTAACCAGCAGACTAGGCTATAGAAATCTGCATATCGGTAGGCAAAGCTGGCATACAAAGATGAATTCAGAACCTGGTGCATTACAATGCAATGAATAATAGCAATGTTTCAGATGCAACACAGAGCAAGTAATGTCTAATATTCCTGGGCTAAGGAGCCTCCACCAGACGTAACAATTCAATAGCCATGTGGTTTCCCCTTTCATGAGTTACTTTTCCATTCCACAAGCTATTTTACTCCTGTGCCAATAACTACATATCTCTGTCAATTATATTTGATGTGGAACTTTCAAATAATCCTCATTTTAAAAAAATCTAAGTACTGTATACTGTCCAACATACATTGCATTTCCTTTGCTTCAAAGCCCACTGATACTTTGGATCAGACCTCAAGCGGTTTGTGGTGCAGTCCTTCCACATATAGAACTACCATAGATTTTAATGGTCACTCTATTTAAAAAAAGGAAGGGGAAAGGTAGAGTATGACTGATGTTTTAGGTAGAGTATGACTGAAGTCTGACAGATTACAAATTAGAGGTGGATATGTAACAGGACCTCTTTGTTTAAAAAAAATAATAGATAAGCATGATCTTCTTTTATGAGATCACAGGACAAGACCTCTAGGCAAATTAGGCTTTTAAGAGTGTCCCCACAGTTACTCCTACAATGTGTTTCTTGTGTCTTTTACTCTTCACATAAATACCTAACATAAAGGAATTGAGGTGAATGGAAGGCAAGCAGAGGACAGACAGTGTGCAAGGAAGAAATTAGGGGGAAGATGAACGTGGGACTCTCAGTGATAGGCTCAAGAGTTCACATCTGAGGTTGAATATGTGATAAGAACGAGATACGAACAACCAGCAAAGAAAGCATGGGAGGAAGAGGATAGCAAGAAAAAATGTGGAAGACTGAGGATATGATGGAAAGGCTCCATCAAGAGAAGTTTGGAGAGAAAAGAACTGGAACTCCAAGACCTATGAATCTATGCTACGGACTGGAAGAAGTGGTGAAGAATTGTGGGTATCTCTGCCCCTTTGTGAACAGGAAAGGAAGAAAGAAAGAAAAGGGAGACATAATACCAAGGAACCACAGGAGCACAGTGGGGGACTGTAAACAGGTGCCAACCCAGGGTTCCCCCTCATGGACTGGGATGACACTGCAGGCACCTTGCCTCAGTTTCGTTTTCAGCTCTCAAAAATAATTCACATACACCCAGAGTCTTTAAAAAAATAGTTCCCCTTCTCTTGGGATCTAATTTATTAAATGTCGTTCAGATCCCAAAAATGCCCCTTTCCACCCACCTTCAATGTTATGGTTTCATA